GGTGTCAGTAGTATTTAAAAAAAATAAATAAATAAAAAATAAAAATAAAAAAAATCACTATTCAAAAAATTTGTGGAAACTAGTTTATTAGCATTCTGAACAAGTGTAATTATCTCATGCAGTAATAGATCTTTTCACTTGTTTTAAGAAAACCAAGACTTGAACACTGAATATGTGGCTAAACTTGTTAAGATGCAGTGTTCCCATGCATGCTGCTAAACCTGGAAATCCTGAAAATGACTGACTTGTTTTCCAAGCATGGAAAATAAATTCTAAATTTTATAAAATATCTTGGAAAGAGTCAAGGAATCCAGAAGAACTCTAAAGTTCAGCTGAGTTATATTTTCAAATATTTTCCCGGGCTCACATTGCATATTTTTACCTGACATTATTTTAAATGAGCATGTTGATTTGATCATTTCAGCTTAATACATTGCAATAAATGGCAAAAGCAGTACTGCTCTATTACTAGGTTTTAGGTAGTTTGAGGCAGGATGAGAGTTAGGGACTGTGTGCTGGTAACGCAGAACTGGTAAATTGTTTTGGTGTTTATCTGACTCTTTTAAGGTGGACCTGTGGTAAGTTGTCTTGGTCCATATAAGGATGTGTGATCTATTTTCTGATTTCTGAGCTGGCACCCAGCATGAATAAACTCAAATTCCACTGTAACTCTGCTGGTACATACTTGACCCCCAACATGCTTAACATACAGACTATTTAATGTGAACCAGTGGTAATTTCCTCTGGCCCATAACATGGCACACATGCCAGACATATAGCCCATGTAAGGTGCGCGTATGCTAAATTTATTTGCCCCAGATTTGGTCCACAACACACTTGACAACTAGCCCATTTAAGGTGGTTCTCTGGCTGAGCTGAGGCAACCAGACTCAGAATCAACACAGTCATTCAAGGCCAAATGTGTCATGAGAGACCTGTAGATGTGGGCCACATCTGGGCCAAACATTCATTGCTATCAGGGTATATGCTACAAAAGAGCCAAGGTCAAGGAAATGAAGTAGAGAAGTTTTTCAGCCGTTCTAAACCAGCCTAGACTGACGAACCCTGCCACAATGGTGGATCACCCACCCAATCACTGTGCTATGACATCACATTTCCAAGCCCTGTTTTTCAATGGCTTCAAACACAGCTCAGCCCATCAGATTTAAGGTCTGGGACAATGTCTTACAATACTCAGTTTAGAACATTAAGTGATATACATAAAAAAAAAAAATGTTTAAAACATTAAGTGAAATCTGACAACTGTATAAGGGAAACAACTCACCTACGTTTCACGTTTTTACAGGTGGACGTCTGATGTGACAAGAGATGTGGTGGTGAGGGAGTGAGGAGGGGGAGAGAGAGGGAGAGGAGAACCCCTTTTGTATGCTTTGAGTCAACAAAAATTACAGTACAAAAAATGTCAATAGAAAATACAATAGAAAAAAAAAACAAGACACAAGTCTACACAAGTATCAATACAACAACAAAGACCACAAGGCAATACAAAAAAAAACAAAAAAAAACAAAACTAAATAAATAAATTAGATAAGGTATTTCATCATGGACATAGTTTTTTTGTTCTTTTGCTGGGTTTCTTAAAAAGATAAACTTGGAAGGAATTGAGAAAGCCACAGATAAACAAAAGGAGGGTCTACATTTTTCCCTCCATTTACAGATGTGAATATGATATTTACCCAAAAGAATAACATGTATTAAATCAAATGTGTGGTTCCAATTTAGGTTTACAAAAAATAATATCTTGGCATTCAAAAAGAGACATTCATTTTTAAAGACAGCCAACATTGAACATCTCACCAAAAATACCCGGAATAACCACATTGAAAAAAGATGAACAGTTGTTTCAAAAGCAGAAGTACAAAAAAAGCAACGTTCTGTCTCCAAACCCTTTCAGGCACAGTGGTTACTGTGAGAAATCACTTTTTTCTCTCATTTCTCAATTTGCATTAGTATTTAAATAGGGAACCTCTACATTTTCTAAAAATGTAGAATGTTGTTCTTGGGACAGTTAAAAAAGTAGCACACAGGAAGTGATGTAAGAACTGTAGTTTTGCTGCAAAGCTGGGTTTGCATGGTTGTTGGAGGAGCCTGTCTAAAACTGCTTACCAGGTGATCCAGGTTGGTTTTGTATGTATGGTTGTAGTTTTTAATTGTAGATAACATGCTATAGAATGAGAATTTGCAAAAGAACAATTAAAATAACTGATATATTCATTTTATAAGTCTAAAATGTGGTAGTTTTGCCTAGTAACCACTGTGAATGTAGGTGAAGTAAATGGTCACATGGCTAAAAATTGGTGGTTTCCCAGAGTGACCACAGTGCATTTAGGACAAACACAATCACATGGAGAAATGGTGAAAGACATTGTGCCTATAGTAGAACTTTATTTGTTTTTTATTCAAAGTAGAGATATTTCACAGAGCTAATTTGATTTATATTGTATATCATAGTGCATCTTGGAAAAACAAAATGAGTGCTGAGGAGGTAGCAAGACTGTTGTAGAAGCCATTCCATCAGATTCTTCATGCAGTGAGAGTGAGAGCAGTCAAAAGGATTGAGGGAGAATAAAAACGACAGAGGTCATGAAAGTGACCAGGGCAATGATCCAGTTGTAAATGTACACATTCTTCAGCTGACAGAAGAGCAAGACAGTTCCCACACTAAAAACCATACATATCAAGGGAGAAGCACAAATCTGAAGCTGCTCATCTCCCAGTGAAAAGCAATATGCCGAGTGCAGCACTAAGAAGGGTATACATTACACAATATGGATGTGCACAGAGTGCAATGTTGGGCTGTGCATCAGCCAGACAAAGAACTGACTTTACCTTTGTCACAAAAATTGAAATAAAACAATGAAATCAGAGAGCAAGTTGAGTATTACATGAAAAATGTCAATGACATAGTCAGCCCCCTTAGTGCACAGTGGTTACTCAGAGAAACCACCTCAGAAATGACCTTTGACCCTGCACCTTAAAAATCTCACCCAAAATCTAGTTTAGTTTAATGGTTTGTAACTTGTTCCTATCAACAAATCTGGTATTTTGAAAGAAATTCTGTATGTGTGCCTGAAAGGGTTAACCCTCTTCTGAAAAAGCTCACTAACCGGACAGACGTCAGTGTTTTGTAATGTGTCTTTAACTCTAGGAGCTACAGGTAATGCCTGATAGCTTTCTCTCTTGTCGATGCCTCAACGTTATAGGAAGGAGAGTGAAAATCACCAAAAAGACGACTCTAACTCATTACTAATCAGTCTGTTACTACATTTTGTATCAAACAAATCAATATTAGATACTTTCAAAGGGGACAATGAAAAAGTGGGCTTCGCTGAGCAATTGTGAAGATCTCTGAATGAGACTGAGGAAAGCTGAGGGTATTGTTTTACAGATCTTCATAACCCTTACAAGTAGTATTTATGCCAGGCAATAACTGGATTTCTGCTTTGCAACCAGCCAACAGACTCGCAGAAGAAACGTAAACAATGTACAACTCAAACTTCATACCGCGGCTTTTTTAAACATCGAGCCACTTCACCTGAAAATATGAACTTACATCATCTAGAAAATCAATATTCAAATCCTTTATTTCGTGTTTGGTTTCGGCGCCGCTCCAACACTGTTTTGCTGCCATCTCGCGACATCCACCGTCTATTCTCGCGCGTGCAGATAGAAATCGGAGTATGAGTTTACGTGCACTGAAAAATTTGATTACTGAGCTAAAATCCAGCTCTCTGAATCCGGTTTCTAAATCGGAGTATGGTGTTTACATGCCCATTTGAATAATCGGATAACTGCAGAAATCCGATTATAATCGGATTATTGAGTGCATGTATACGCACTCATGCACATGCACCTCTGTAGAGGACACTCCGCTACGTTAGCCCGCTCAGCCATGCTGATCAGACCAATTAACAAGAAATGTCGAATTTAGGCGGAAATATGTGGTCTTAACCTCCGAACACGATAATAAAATGTGATCTTAACAGTTTACCCCAAATCACTCACTGTGACTGCAGTTACGGCTATAAACTAGAAAGTTTTCTGAACCTGCAAAATCGACCGCTCACTCCGCCAATTTAGAAACGCCCCCCTCCCGAGATCACCCCTTAAGTACGGTACCCGCAGCTGTTGCTGTTCAGTCCTAATTACCCCTTAGTGGTGCCTTGTCTCCCCCTAGCGGCTGGACGTGGCCTAGCACAAGGCCAGGACATTACAGATGTCATGAGACGAAAATTCAAATGAAGGTCCAGTTCGTCTCCTGGATCAACAGATCAGTGCCCAGTGGCACAGAGAGCTACATACCAACACTACAGATAAGTTTCATATTTTCATTGTCTAGTGAATTTGAACATGTCCACAAGGCACAGCAGTGGACATGTAGTAATCATAGTCTGACTTTAAGCAGTTAAAGAGGAATTCCACTGATTTTTTAAAATGCCTTCATAATTCAATCAATATCATGTGAATAAAGTCATTCTGCACCAGTTTGTTTTCATGTAACCACTTTTTTTATATGGAATGTTGATGATGGTAAAATGTATGTATCTCTCTCCCATGAATGGATGTAAAAATACCTCACGTGCAGCTCTGTTTGTTTGAATGTGTTTTAATTTATTGTTTCGCAACATCTTTGTATTATTACCACTCAGTAGGAGCCACCATAACATTAATAGTTTACAGTAACATTTGCAATCTAGTTGAGGTGGTGGTAGGGGTGGGGGTGGAAAGGGAGATAATGTGGACCCCACCAGCAACGCAGAGGTCCTGGGCAATTTTCTGTTTCACCTGTAGCCTGGTCTCTCCCTGGTTTCAACATTTGGTGTATTTCCTGAATGAAATTAAGCATTCATTTGTCAAATGGATGAGTACTTATTTTGCCGTAATGTTATGCCAATTTGGAACAAATGTCATTCATTTGAAATGATTACCCCTTTTTAAAAATTATATTTCCCATCGAAATACATCTGGCAAATTGCAGCTCTAGAAGTCTTTTTTATTAACGTTTTTAGTACAGAGACATCTGTAGTTATCATCAGCACAGACGTACATTAAAAATTCATTAATCATGCATGCCATAAAAACATTCAGATCTTGGCACAAAACAGGTATAAGGACACAGGCACATTTTCTCAACTCAATATTTTAATGGCAAATAAAAACCTTTGAAAAAGGCACTGATATGCTGTACAGCAGAGAAACACTGACAAAATATAAACAGGCCAGAATGCCGTAATCCAGTGACATCAGTTACAAGAGCAGCCTTAAAGCTCAGCATTAAATATTACAATAGAATCTACTTTTATATTACAAAACACACAGACTGACATACAAATATAACTGAAAATTAAGAGGTTTTTAAAATGGCCTGCATCTACTCTTTGATATTAAGCTTGGAATACATTAACAATAATACCTTCTCCTCTCATAATTTTAGCTTTTAATCTTTGCTTTAAAGGGCTAATATCTTACATTTTTTTTTGTAAATTTTCTGAGGTCCTGCTACAACACTTATGTGGTTTTCTGTACCGAAAACAGTTGTAATTCATTTCTACATGACTGTTTTCCAACCTTCTTTATCACTCTTGTAGGTTGAACAGGTGGATTTATGTAACTGTGTTGGTTTTTGTGACCTCATAAAAACAATGAATTCAAAACAGACTGTTTTTGCAGATTAGTTGGCCTTTGTGGACTGTGTAGATAGTACGTTTTGAAACAATGTTTACCTACTACATCAACCACCATTTTACATGATATGAGCCGTTTAAGACAACACAACAAATTACCACGTCCTTTCAGACATGTAATCCTGTTACATGTAAGCTTACTGCATCATATGCATGGATGGACTACCTTTGGCAATTATAAAAGAAGCTAATGTGACAAAGGAGCTTATGCCAAATATGTTCACCGACATTTGGTTGAGACCCACGGTGGTCAGAGGGGCTGCAGACAAAGTCATGTTTGCACATGAAAAGCGTTGCTGGTGAGCGGATCCGGCCTGCTTCATATGTTTGACTCTCCTGTGTGATGGACGCTCCTGGATGCCTGCAAAGCCATTCAAGAGACAGTCAGACAGGGAAGAAGAGCCTCCTTCATATTCATATCACAGCTGGTCATTTAATTGTAGAGCTCTAATGCTCATCTTGGTCAAAACGCTCAACTGATCATCACTTCCCCACCAGCCTGTCTCAGAGAACATTGGCTGTGATCAGATATCAGCCTCTTCATGCCTGCCACACAATAAGGAAGCATGTCTTGATTGATATGGATGCCAAACTGGAGCTAAATAATTTCAGTCGGGTCTACATTTGCATACAATTTGAGTCTTCAATAGGGCTATCAGTTTTGGCTTGGCGGGGGTATTTTTTCTAGTGAAATTAACTTTAATGGACAGATTAATTAAAACAGCTATTCAGCCACACAGAAGCAACAGCTAAAAAGCCACTATCTATGTTACTTATTTATTTATTAACAGGGAAAATTCTAATGAGACTGAACCCTTATTTTTAATGAGACCCCAACTGCAATGCATTCCATTCCATTCCCTTGAAGCTGCTTATGAGGCCACAGTGCTGATTTAAAAGAGAATGTACCTGAGATTTGCTGGACTGGTTTGTGCTGAACTCTGAGTATTTCTTCTTCTGTGGTACACACAGGCTGGTCAGGGTCCTGGCATACTCTTCTCTCACCTAATAAGAGAAGATTAGAGAACATCATGAAGCAGATTAGAACAAGATGTGAAGCTGCTGGTGTGACATTCAGACTTAAAGGGGTGCTCTGGCTAAAAGGAAAACTGTAAGCATTGCTTCATCTGTCATAAACATTGCATGCTTGCCTCTTTGGGCCATGCTAAATTGGTCTCTAGAGTGAGAATTTTTGGTTTAAAGACTATAAAAAACTCTTCTGATGATGTATCTTGAAGGTGGGTCAGAGTTTTGAATAACTATAACTGCTTTGTGGTGGATACTTCAGGTTGGGGGTTTAATACTTTTCAAAGAAAATGTCTTCTTCCCCCAGTGAGTTAAAGTTTTTAAACAAGCAGATCTTAATACATTTCAAAATTGATTTGGAATAGATAGAGTTTGCTGCTAATTGCAACAGAAATGCAAAATGAGCTTCTTTTTTATAATATCATTGATGTGTTACTGATATGTATTGTACTGCAAGATACTGTAGTAAGCTATGTGTAAGTATCAGCTAATTTTAAACTCTTGCCTTACAAATCAAAGTACTGTATCATGGCGAGGCCTAAGGCCTATACTCATATTTACTTTAGCACTGACAATGCAACTCTACAGGTTTTAGACTGTGTGAGTTTCTGAAGCACCACACAACACAACCACTGCACTTAGCATTTTGTCTTCAGCTGGCATTAAATCTTTACATTTCAGCTGAGCAGTCCTGCATGAAATGAGGGACTTACTTGTTTGGAGAGCAGGCAGTGCATGACAAACACCAGCACCCCCTGCAGGCTGTTGAAGATAGTGAAGAGGTAGGACATGACCAGAGATCCCCCCTCAAACTGAAAACAGCCAAAGATCCACATGGTGCCAAGCACACAAAGTTGGGCAATGGCAGTGACTGTGAATGACCTGTTGAGGAGACAAAGAGCCAACAATTAGCCATAGCAATTTTACAGCACACTTGACAATGGCTTGAACAAGGAATCCTAAAATCCATGGAAAAATAATAAGGACCAGGAAAAATGTTTTAATTTTTCTAGATGGAGATCCATTGGAATTTAGTACATCTGAAAGGCTGGTGCAAGTACAAATTTAGACATTTGTTATCACATGGAGATCAATTGCCACGCCAGTGTATTGTATAAATATATCTGAACATTGAATTTGATTTTGACAGCTGTACTTCTTAGTGGCAGTATTATGGCTTAAACGGCTAAAACATAGACTTGTTGTCTGGCCAAATATGTTATACAGGTATCAATATGATATGTATACATATCCCTCTGCCCACTGGACAGAACTTGCCCAGAAATCCATGCATTCTGATATATTTACGCAAATCTTACAGCTAAGTGAAAGCAATTATTCACAATCTGCCACTTGTGAAACGTAGGTGTGACGCACTTCTGAGTGGTGAGTTACAAGTGTGAGTGGGCATGTTAGAAAAAGTACTGAAATGGGACCCTTACAGCACCTTGGCTCTTTCCTGAGGTGGCTGGCATGCTGCAAGGCAGTAGTTTGTTCAATAAATTCTCTTGCTTACTTGATTTTTTGCAGCTTGCTCAAGTCTTGATTGAGGAAGGAAAATTTCTCAGCCAGCTTCCATACAGTTATCAGGAAGAAAAATACATTCACCTGACAGAGGGGAAATGAGAGAGAGATTTAGTCTTGTTTGATACTAAAATAGTTTACAGTAAAGTAAGCTCCCATATTCTAAGCTGTACTTACAACAATTATGACACAAACAGGACCGAAGAAGCTCCAGATGAATCCACCCTTCAAGTTGAGCCAGCAGCTGACAGCGAATGAACAACAAGTAAGTAAGACAATGTGCCAAAGCTAAAAATGCTACTTATTCCATTGACACATAAAGCACTGCTGACAGAACCATGCCAGTCTTAGTAATGAGAGAAAAGGCTGGGCAAAACTCACTGGTGCTTGGTGCCATATCCTCTAGCATTGATACTGGCTGATATGATAACAATGAGTGCAGGAATTCCATAACCGCCCAACATCAGGTAGAGTGGTCTCACTGTGGTGTTGAAGACCAGCACTACCATGTTGAAGAGCTGCACACCTTCCAGGCACATCCAGCACAATGCAGCCAGGAAGAAGAAGTGCAGCAGACCTGCAACAAATGCACAGCCCACCTGGAGAGACAAGGGACAGGGGAGATTATAGAGTTGAGAGGCATGAATGGCCTAGGATTTCCAGCCTCATGCTGGTAATGCTCAGAAGAAGGCTACTCAGGAAATAAGGAAACAAGCTCATTCAAAAGAAATTCCAGAATGAACTAGATCATAGTCATTAAGTAAATGTGTTCAGTTTAGATTTGGCCCCATCTTCTGATCAGGAGAAAAAAATGGGGGGTCATTTTACCCTGGGGGACTTCCCTATGTGGTAATGGTAATACATGGTACTTTTATCATGCAACACACACGTAATTCCTGGCACAACAGCTCAGTATTAAAGTACCTCATTCTGGGTTTGAGTGATGCCAGCGAGGAAGATGAGGTTGGCAATGAAGAGGCTAATGCAAAGGTGCAGGTGGATTGTGGTGCGGGTGCTCTGGATAGAGCGGACGAAGCGAAAGGTCAGTATGCAGATGAGGAGGCAGATGAGGGACAGGGAGAGCCCCACCCATGTAATCAGCTTTAGTTCAAATACATCCTGTGATAGGAAGAGACAGAAACAGATGTAACCATAGAAACATAATTGTTTAGGAAACTTTATATTTATCTCATTTAAAGATGAATCATTTTTTAGTTAGCTATAACTTCATGAGTTATGTGTAGGCAAGTCCCATACATACAGCGAGAATGATGTAATACTAATTTGAATAACTAGAGGAATTACTGAATGTGTCGCATGCAACTTTGATTTTGAATTGCTTCATGTAACTGTCAAGTTGCATGGATTCTAAGTTGCATGCAACTCATAACATGCAACTAGCTGCATGAAAGTTTACTATCTAAAGTCAACCTAAGGACTTAGTCTGCTTTTTCTTTGCTGTATTATGAAGCACATAGATCACACAGAAGAACATCAAGTGCATATTTTTTACATTCACTGCCAAGTTTCACCGACAGAAAGGTCACATTATACACTACATCTGATACATACACTACATCTGTACTGTCTTCGATGTAAATTTGACTTTGTCAGCTGTTGCAGTTCAATTTACAAGTAGGAAAATGGATATTTCCTAGTTTTCAACACCATATGAGGGCAGCATTAGATTAAAAGTTGGAACTAAAGTCTGCAGAAAGGAAGCTCACCAGAAGACTTCATGCAGTACGACTGGCTCTGCCAATTTTTCGTTTAATGTGCAGTTAGCATTTGCAGTGGGGGGGGAAGAGCTACATTACCTCCACTTCATGGAGTGCCATTAGCACAGCAAAACTGCTGAGGTGGGTGCAGGAGCAGACTGTGTGATTGGCATTAGAGCTGACCACAGAACAGCCCTTGGTGGACCACGCACCACCATCCAGAGAGGAGTCCCAGAACACACACGTTTGGTTTCTGTCTGATGGTTGCTGTAGGGAAGAGAAAACAAGAAAGGAAGTTACCTAAAACCCCCCATGCATGTGCCGCGTAGCCTGGGCTGTAATCTCTCAGTATACCATGAACAGTAGTCGAGAGTGACAGTTGGTGTTTTTATAGTCTGTCTTTTTAGCATTTTTATATACTGTATGTTATGAGAGAAAATACAAGAATGAAATATTTTGAAAACAGAAATGATTAGTAACTTGTTATATTTATTTCAAATGTTATAATATTTTTTTGTAAAAGTAACACTAGGTTAATGTGCCAGAAGGTAAAAGAATAAAAGCTAGTTAAATGATACAGTGAAGAAATATATTTGTAGGTGTTTGTTTTAAATCAGTGATAGACGAAGCCTGACGATTGTTTATTGGTATTGTGTTCCAGATTATTGGTTCATAAAAACAAGAGGCTGCTATACCGCTCTTTTTATGGAATATGGAGAAGGCCACACTGGATGATCTTAAGACACGATTTGAAACATATTTCTTTGGCCATTCAGAGATGAATGATGGTGCTATACTATAAAGTAATGAAATATTACTTAAAAATATGCCATAATATTAAGTGATACAATGTTATAGTCAATTCTAAAGGAAACAGGTAGCCAGTGGAGTGATGCTAAAACTTGTGTAATATGATATTGCTTTCTAGTCAATATTCTTGATGCTGCATTTTGCACAAGTTTGTTTGTTGTAGTTATAGGAAGTCCTGTGTGAAATACATTACAATAGTCAGGGTGAGAAAAAAAGAATGGATCAACTTCTTGGCATCTTGCAAACATTCCTTTAGATGACAGAATGTAGTCAAACCGAAAGTACTTTTACTTACACTACTGTTCAAAAGTCTGAAATCATTTTAATATTCTATATCATTTAAACAATTTGTAGACTTTTTTTTAATGTTGAACAGAGCTGTAGATGATTCCACAATAATTCAGAAAGCTTTATAGCATTAAGAATGAATTTACAAAAACCTAACATCCAGAATGCCTCATATTCAAAAAAGTATGGACCGAATCTCACTGACCAAAATGCTGTTCACAGTAATTTTGTGACAAGAAATTAATATGAACTATATAATTACAGTTCATATTTTAATAATATTTGTTTCTTTTATATTTTATATATTTCAGAACTTCTTGTTGTTGCCAAAATACTTTAAACTGTGACTAAATATTTACATCAGTGTACAGTTTACATCATTTCAATCTACAACATATTATTGAATAACAATTTTTATATAACTAGCAATTCTGAAATATTCCCATGTTTGTACACTCAAGTATACAGTTGTATGCAAAAGTTCATCACTCCTGGTCAAATAACGTGTTTTGTTGACTTGCTAAGTGAAAATAAGTTAACACATGCTCTACAGTGAACACACTTCAATATGGCATTTTCTGCAACTTTTTGTGCAGTTATAAAATAAGATAAACTGACATATAAAATGTGACATAGCTTTTTTTTCCAATATGTCTAATTCAGTAAATAAACAGTGACTGTGCATTAATATACAAGTTCTATGTAGAGGATTTATTAACTTGTTTTCTCATTTTTTTTAGTTTTTGTTTACAATCAACAAAAATATGTCATTTGACAAAGGGTGCCCAAATGTTTGCTGCAGCAAACATTGTTATTCTGCACTGCTTTGTAATTGGTCACATGACATAACCTCAAAAAGAGAAGAGGCTCCTAACAAGCTTCAGTTCTTATGCTGACAGATGCTGGACATACTAAGAAGTTTCACTGCACTTCTGCAAGTTAATCACTTCTTAAGTAGTCAGCAAGTGTATCAGTTCCTAAGCAGTCTTTTTTGAGCAGCTACATTTGCGCTTCTGCTGAAGTTGTTTATTAGAAAGGCACTTTTACATCCAGTCATTATTTCACTGAAGTAACAAAGCTTTTACTTTGTATGAGTTTAGACCACTCTATCCACCTCTGCACTGAAGAATATTGGTCAGTGACTTTCATGAAATAACTTGAAACAATCTTCCTTTAATCTCTTACTGCTATTTCATTACATAAAATCTTTTAAAGTATTGATTTAAGTATAGCTGCACCTGCAGGTGAGAGAAGGTGAGGATGATCTGTTTCTTCAGCTGTGCTGTATCAGGGTTAGTGACCACTGCTGTAACTACTTTCGAGTTTATCTTGAGTGTTTCATCTTCTTGTGTCTTTATCTGGTCAAAGTAGTTGTTGACTGAATTTTCCAAACTATTGAAGCTCAGTAGAGACACAGCAGCAAATCCTGTTCAGCAGTCCAGGAGCAGCATAAAGAAGAAACAGAAAAAGAAAACCAATAGGTTTTAGTTCCATTTCAGGGCTAACACTTCTAATTTTAAGCACAGCTTGCAGTGAGTGTTTTTACCCATGTATGAATCTCCTGCTGCAGTTTCCCAGTGGGATTCAAGCTGTGTGTCACAGGTGGACAAAATGAATGGCCCGTGAGGGGGAGCATCATCTCTCCGGACTAATGTATTGACCTCTACAGACAAAATATTAGCATGCAGTGAATTTAATTATATCTAAATACCAATTTCACTGCCATATCAAAGGGTCGAAAGGTCATGTAATAGTACAGAATGATAGTCTTTTCTTACAAAAGGGTTAATATGCTACTCTGGTCGCTCATATTGGGTTAAAACTGGTCAACTGACAGTTACTTCTTACCTGTGTGAACACTTCTTGTGGTGGTATTAGATAGCTGGGGTCCAAGCAGTTTCAGTACATTCTCAGTTGTTTCCAACACTGTTGTCACTTTCTTGTTACTGCTTAGGGGCCCAGCAGACAAAAGCTCATCTAGAGCATTCAGGAACCTCTACAGGGGGGGTGTGGGGTGAGAGAGACAGACAGACAGACAGATTAGAACTGTGTTCTCTATGTGGCGTTTTGGTGGGAACCAAAATTACACTTTTTGTTCTAGCTTCTTTTCAACCTACTACTTGAGAGACAACTGGAGCTGCCATAATACCCATTATTAACAATTTAACTTTTTGGTAATTTGCTACCTTGCTTGCTAGCTAGATTAGCTTCCTTTCTAGAAAAACCATAGACCAGCATAGCCAGTCACCACTCAAATCATGTGTAGAATCAAGAAAAGCTGATATTTTTCTCTGTCAAGTGTGAAAACATGAACAAAAATATAAAAATATAACTATTTTGTTGAGGCCAGCATGAATGCTAATTGTGTTAGCGTTTGCTCCTAGCTTATGCCTCTCTGCAAACTCTTTACAAAGAATCAACACATCAAATTTTCATTCGAGTTTACATTTTGGTTCAAGAATTGGTCATATATACAAGCATCCAAAACACAACATGTGCTGGTTTTGCTGGTGACCAGCTGCTAATCTATGCTGTTTTTTCTAGCAGGGTAACTTAGTGCTTGGTAAATATAACTTATCTTCTCTCTTTAAGATAGTAAAAAAAGCTAGAAGCTTACACTAATGCTATCAGCATTTACACTAGCCTTCACACAGATTCATGTGTACAATCAAAGCTTGTATTTTTGTCTGTTGGCTGTGAAAATATGAGCAAAAATACTCAGTGTGGAGGCCAACAAAAATGCTGATGGCCTTAGCTCCTTATGTCACCCTAGCAAACTCTACAAAGTACAATTCTAAAAACAGCAATAAACACCTCACATAACTATAGTTTACTTTCAGGTGCATGTATTTGGTCATGTAATAGTGCTTGGTGTATTTATCTTCAGTTGAAAGAATAAAGACTTAGCTGCTCGTGAAGACAGAAGAGTACCATTACTGGTTGGTACTAGTTTTGAGCAGGTACTGGACTGATGGCCAACGAAAAAGCACAGTTCCAGTATTCTGTGCAGTGGGAAAAACCCTTAAAAACCTAAAAATGATTATCATTAGTCTTACTGTACACTGATACCTCTAACTGTGTGTTTCCGTCCACTTGTGACACCCTCTTACTCATAACTGGATCTCCACTCAGCTTCTCACAGCTGCTCCTCAACTCCTCCATGACTGGTACTAGCTGATGGACCTGGGTGTACAACACAAAGAGGAAGAGAACAATAAAGCACAAGGTTCAGGTGGGTTAAAATAATCTAGTATCATAATATATGTATTTTGTGTAATTTATACATTTCTTTAATAAGCATTCATTAATGATAGTAGTAATATGTTTCACTGACATAGCGCCAATGTCACTGTAGAGGAGAAGAGGGTTAAGCCAACTGTTAGCACTATGAATTGAGCTGAATTCTGTTCTCCACCTACCTTAGGGTCAAGCTGTAACAGAAACCCACAATTTGGCTCTGGAAAGAAAACACTTAAATGTAATACAAATAACATACCATTCGAAAGTTTGGAATCACTGTTTTCATTCATATAAAACTAGTCTTTAACAGACAACTACAACTGCTGAAAAAGAAATCTGAGCATAGTAAAGACCAATGTATGCTTGTTTTACAACAGAGTTGGTTTATTAATTTTATGTTTCATTTATATGTTTTCTATATCTGTAGTTATCACACACTGTTTGAGTTAACACTGCATTTTCATTATGGCCAGCAGAATTGCTTCCATCAGCAACTGTTGGCCATTTTGGGGACATGTCCAGTGTAAATGAGTACAGAGTTGTAGGCTAGTTCTGCTCCTCAAAGTGGCCTAATATTATTTAACTTTAAAATTCAATGTAATATTTTCCCTCATTGCAAATACATGATTCAACCACTGTACCTCCCAATCTGTGTGCGTTTGAGTGTTAAATCTCAGCATGTAGGTTGACTGTGGGCATGATGCAACAGGTTACCGTGCCACATATCAACAATCTGATTATTCTTTGCTTATGTCATTATTATTTACTTACTTCATCCCTTTTTGATCTGTTATTTCTTTAATATTTTATTTATGCAATTTTTATGGGTTATTTGGACTGATTGTCTTTTTACTATTAAATTTACTATTATGATTATTACTACTTTTTAAGCATTTGATATATTTTTACAATCTAATTTTATCAGTCCCTGACTTCTGTATTGGCTCGGCTACATTGTAAGTGAGGTTCACACTCAATGTACTCTGAGTTTAAATAAAGGTTGATTGATTGATTGGGTGCTGCTCAAGCTCATTTGCCTAAAGACAGCAGAGTGAGCAAGATGTACGTCACTGTATATGTTACATTTATACTGCCTAAAATTTCAGCACCCACAACTCAAAACACCTTTCTGCATCTGTGGTGCTAATCAAATCTCGACATCACTTATCTGTGCAAAAGTCAGAGACCCCTCTTCAGTTATTTCATTCAAAATGGCCATTAAGTACAAGTTATTAATTTTCAAGTACCAGAAATTTTTTTTAAAACAATGTATTTAGTAGAAAATTACACAAAAGCTTCAACAGCTAAATATAATATTTTTTCAGTATTTAGTGTGTCCACCCTTTCCCTTCACTACAGCTTCCTTTTATTTCAGTAAACCTATTTTCAGTATTTCAGATCTGCAAAGATATTTTTCCCCACCTCCAAAGTTGGTGGCATTTTCTGCCTCTCATCATTCACTGTTTTGAGATCATGAGCAGCTACTTAGATTTATTTTAGATCTGCAGCAAGATTTATTTTCTGCTATCTCTTGACGATTAAAGCTTTATCTGATGGTGACAGTTTTGGTGGTCTACGACTCTGACTTGTGCACTGTACTCTATATAATAGTTAGTAATACATTTCATTATTTACCATTTAAAAACTTCTCACTGTTACAAAAAACTTGAAATATTACATAAAACATCATAAAATACATTCTGGTTTCTAGATTATCAAGTTTGAATCTAGACTGTATAAGTTGTTATGAAACAAACTAACAGAAATTAACAGGTTTTTTTGCATATGTTTGGGACTAGGCATCATTGAGTACACTTAGTCTGCACTCACTTGTGCATTTCATTGTTTTGAAGCCATAGTTGGTGAATCCTTCCTTGCACACACATTCATGGCCATCTTCAGACTTGTTGCAGACTCCTTCCCCACAGAGGGACTCATCAATCGTACAAACATCTTGAATGAAAAAAAGAACAGCAGAGTCTCAGCTGTATGTTCAGTTGTTTCAGATTTCAGTGTTAAAACTCCAGTCTGGACTGTCTCAGACTTTTTTTGCCGGTTTGTTATAGGCAAGACTAGTTGATACTTATCTGTTTCCAACAGGGCCAGTGAATCTGGTGGCTTTTACTTTTTTTTATTACTTTGTCAGCTAACTGTATTCATGCATATAGACTGATGCACTGTATACAGATTGAAGATTGACACTGATTGCTGGTAATGTAGCACTAAAGAACAACCTGATTGATTCCGCATTAATGCAAATACAATAGTATTGTTAATAATTTGCAAATGGTAACATGCAGAAAGGCAAAAAAACTATTACGTTCACAAGGTCCACTGTCATTGAAGGTAGTCTGTCCTGACTGCAGCCTGTAGCCTGGGTCACATGTGCAGTAGTGTCCACCAATGGTGTTATTACACTTTGCATGCTGTCCACAAATGTCAAACTCCATACATTCATTCCTATCTGTTAGGAGAACACAAAGATTAGAAGATGAGAAAATGTTACTGGGCAACATGTAGCTCAGACAGACTATCCTGATCATCTGTCACAACCCAGTCACCGCCACCTGCCTTGGACTGGCTGCCCACTCTACACTGAAGTCTCCTAACTATTACTACCTCCTAACTATTACTACTACTACTACTATTAATATTAGTAGAATAATAATTTTGTAGGTAGTTTGACCAGAGGAGGATGGGTCCCCCCATGTGAGCCTTGGTTCCTCCCAAGGTTTCTTCCTCAGCTCTGAGGGAGTTTTTCCTTGCCACTGTCGCCCTGGCTTGCTCACCTGGAGGATTTACATTTCATGTTGAAACTTTGTCCTAAACGGATTTCTGTGAAGCTGCTTTGTGACAACATCAGTTGTAAAAGGCGCTATACAAATAAATTTGATCTGGAGGATGGTGCTGTGTTTATTTCATTCCTGAAGCTGAAATTTGAATTGAATTTGAATTTTAAAATTAACGCTCACAGCTCAGCATTAAAACTTTTAACAGGCACATTTATGCTGGCTAAAAGGTAAGCTAAACTTTAACTGGGTTACTGTGTTTATTCAACACTCATTGTTACATGCTGTCTAACAATAAATATCATCAGAGAACAACTTTAAGGTCTATTAGCTAATTAAGTTAGCTTTTCTTAACTTAGCTGCTGACAGTTAGCTCAGTTAAAGTGGTAAAGTTTTAAAATGTACCATTCACTCCCTGATCCCTAGAGTCCGTTTATGCATCTGTGACAGTGGTTCTCAAACTTTTTATAGTCCTTCACCCCTTTTACACTTCCTGTTGTGTGTCCTCTCTCTCCTTATGTGTGTATATATATATATGTGTATATTTGAATATATTTTGTATCATATATTTTTCAAAGTTACATTGATATCATATTGTCCATCTTGACTCCAGGTATTTACTTTATTTTTCTATTTTAAAACCTAAGAAAAGATACAGATATGTCCCTTTTCCCTGGAAAAGTGAATGCAGTGTATCCCTAAGTCACTTTTAAGGTACGCAGTTGAGCCCTAAGACCATATACTGTGTTTGATATATATAATCTTCGAGGGTATATTTACTTGCTTGTTCAGTACCTTTTTTCTTACATTGCATAACAGACATTTTTGTTATTGTTTACCTTAAAATGAATAATATAATTAATAAATAATTTCATAAATAAATACATTTAATAAACAAATAATATTAGGAATGTTTCTAGATGACTGCATTATAGGTGTGAGTCAATCTGGAGTTCCTATGAGAACACAGGGAAAAAAGGGAGGAAGATAACTTTTTTCATTTGTAATGATCAATGCAGCAGCATCAATATGAGGGCACATATGTGTGTGTGTGTGTGTGTGTGTGTGAGGGAGAGAGAGAAAGTCTGCAACTGTAAAATGAACAGCGAGTAATTAAATGTTCACTAACATGAGCCACAGATTGCGTATATTGCAGTAACATCATCTGCTCAATTTATAACAGCAAAAGTTTGCCATCTTTGTCAGAATTTTTCTGACTTACCCCAAAAGTGGTTTGACATACTACAGTTTGGATACCACTGATCTATGCATACTAAGCTGGCAAAACAGTCTGTTTTGGATGAATTGTTTTATTGATGTCATGAAAAAACAAATAATTTATATATATATATATATATATATATATATATATGCCTATTCTTTTAGCCTGGATTGCTTTTTAAATGAGGCTGGAAAATGGCCAAGTGAAAATGAATTATGACTGTTCTTGGTACTGGCAGAGTTTTGCAAATGGTCAGTCAAACAGGCAAAACGCGCCACGAAAATGACACATCTTGTCTCACCATCACACATAACACCTTGACTTGCATTAAATATCTCTCTTCTGTTGCTGGGAACAAATCCGTATTTGCATGTGCAGAAATAGGAGCCAATGGTATTATGACACTCAGATTTGGGGCCACAGATATCTGTGATCTCTAAACACTCATTGATGTCTGTGAAAAGAACAAGAGCAGAGATTCAGATTCAGCCTTTTCTACTGAACGACTTGTGCGGGCACAGGCCACTGTGTAATGGAATTATTGACCTTGAGATTTGTTGTTGTTCTACTGTGTGAAGTTACCTTTCCCTGAAGTTTCCTGGTATCCTGTTTCACACTGGCAGTAGTAGCTACCAATTGTGTTGTAACAAACTGTATTTTTGCCACAGACTGGGTTTTCAGACTCACACTCATTCTTATCTGTTGTAAAGATGTAGAGTGCATATGAAAAAAGGTCGTTGCATTATGAGTGGGCAATATGGCAATATTTATCGTTATTGTGATAAATTATGTCACCTTATAAAACAGTTAGTTTTGACAAAAATGTAATTGGTTGAGGAAAGTTTTATATGTGCTGTTATTTGTGATGACAGTACTTTTTCAGAATATCAGAATTCCTCTGAGCATCAACAGTCTCACTATACGCTATTAATTTTCTACTTAAAACATACAAAACCAGAAAACGAACACATTAACTAACTTCTATAGGATGATATTTGACCTGCAGCCTGTTTGGTCAGATTCTGAAGACATACAGCAGGGCCACATCAAATTCAGAACCTGACGTTGCCCCTAAGCGAGCTTTTCAATCGGCAGCTATGATGGCAGAACAACTAAACTAACTGGAATCAGCCAGAAACAAACAGAATACAATTCAACACACAAGATGAGCTGTGAAACACTTTACAAAATGACGTTCAGGTTAATCTGGCAAGTAATAAAAAGCTGATCTGGACCTGATGTTGCAACAGTTTTATGGGTCTCTCTGTAACACACAAAGCTACAAATTTATTAACAGAAGGAACTGCCAACAATAAAGCACGTTTCATCTGATGTTCAGGGCTTCTTTACTTTACTTTTTTCTTTATTTTGCAGAACTGTTGTATAAAAGCTATGGAACATTTGAGGCAGTGTGTTATGACATCATGACTGATTTGGTCACAGGGATGAGCCGAAGGTATTCTATTGCTTAATGACATCACAATTTGCATTTCTTGGGATCTCTGTATCTAAATATTAAAGGGCTCATGTCATGCAAAATCTATTTTTCCTCACGTTTTTGAACTGAAAGAGTTTGATGTGGTATGTAAACACTGTTAAAATTTCAAAATGTCCCGTCCTCCCCAGTCCATACATGCAAACTAAGCTGCAAAACCAGCCCATTTTAAATTCACGGTTTCAGTAACGTCATGAAAAACAAATAATTTACATATCACTGCCTACTCCACCTACATCAGCTTAGCTCCTCCCATTTACACTAAAGTTATAAGGAGTATTTCAGCCTAGACTGCTTTCTGGATGAGGCTGGGAAATGGTAAAATGTATTATGAATACTTTGGTACATAAAGCCACCCCAGTGTAATATGTGGACCTCAGGGGTAAAATAAAATGTAAGAAAAATGTCAAATATGGGCCCTTTGTTGCACTCCTGCACAATGCCAGCTTTTGTAATATTTTGTTCAAAGTTTGTAAAAGTTGGATAAAAGTCCTCATTCACAGGGCAACCTCATATGGAAAAGTAATACATGGACCTGGATATATTTTTAGATGTGAAATACATGTCAAATACATTGTTTCATTCCAAATTGTATTCCCAGCACTAAAGTATATTAAAGTACCGATTTTTTTTTTTTTTGTCATTTACATAGATTTTACATGTATTTCTTTTGCATATGGGGCGAGTCTTCGTCAGCATCTAGTGTTGCACCAAATACTTCCAGTGTGAGTAGCATTAGCTTTAGCATTAGCTCATCTGAAGTGGCAGCTTGCTTTGCTAAAACTTCTTCCTTATTTGACATGAAAACCTGGCACTTTATTGTCGTATGGCTAAAAGATTTTCTGGGTTTGATGAATAAAAACATTATTTTTAAAATTATTTTCTTAAATTACTAGCCTATCGTCATATTGTGAGTTCTCAAATATGTATGTTTGTTTATGTGGGCTTCTAAAATTTTTCTTTGTGCTGATGAGTCTTTAGTCGGCAGCACAGATGCAGTCAGGCGGCCTGAGCAGAAAGTTTGATGGAAGCAGCAACGGTAATTAAGAGAGGTGGGACCTGTCAGAGTTTTGCAAACCGTCAATTATGCAAAACTGAACATAAATGACACGTCTTGTCTTACCATCACATGTAACACCTTGACTTGCATTAAATTTCTTCTCTCTGTTGCTGAGAGCAAATCCATCTTTGCATGTGCAGAAATAGGAGCCAATGGTATTATTACACTCAGAATTGGGGCCGCAGATATCTGGGATCTCTAAACACTCATTGATGTCTGTGAAAAGAACAAGAGCAGAGATTCAGATTCAGCCTTTTCTATGAGTAGCCCAGGTCACCGTGTAGTGGAATTACTGACCTTGGCATATGTTGCTGTTGTGCTGTGTGAAATTAACTGTTCCTGAAGTTTCCCGGTATCCTGTTTCACACTGGCAGTAGTAGCTACCAACTGTGTTATGACAAACTGTGTTTTTGCCACAGACTGGGTTTTCAGACTCACACTCATTCTTATCTGTTGTAAAGATGTAGAGTGCATATGAAAAAAGGTCGTTGCATTATGAGTGGGCAATATGGCAATATTTATCGTTATTGTGATAAATTATGTCACCTTATACAACAGTTAGTTTTGACAAAAATGTAATTGGTTGAGGAAAGTTTTATATGTGCTGTTATTTGTGATGACAGTACTTTTTCAGAATATCAGAATTCCTCTGAGCATCAACAGTCTCACTTTACGCTATTAATTTTCTACTTAAAACATACAAAACCAGAAAACGAACACATTAACTAACTTCTATAGGATGATATTTGACCTGCAGCCTGTTTGGTCAGATTCTGAAGACATACAGCAGGGCCACATCAAATTCAGAACCTGACGTTACCCCTAAGCGAGCTTTTCAATCGGCAGCTATGATGGCAGAACAACTAAACTAACTGGAATCAGCCAGAAACAAACAGAATACAATTCAACACACAAGATGAGCTGTGAAACACTTTACAAAATGACGTTCAGGTTAATCTGGCAAGTAATAAAAAACTGATCTGGACCTGATGTTGCAACAGTTTTATGGGTCTCTCTGTAACACACAAAGCTACAAATTTATTAACAGAAGGAACTGCCAACAATAAAGCACGTTTCATCTGATATTCAGGGCGTCTTTACTTTACTTTTTTCTTTATTTTGCAGAACTGTTGTATAAAAGCTATGGAACATTTGAGGCAGTGTGTTATGACATCATGACTGATTTGGTCGCAGGGATGAGCCGAAGGCATTCTATTGCTTAATGACATCACAATTTGCATTTCTTAGGATCTCTGTATCTAAATATTAAAGGGCTCATGTCATGCAAAATCTATTTTTCCTCACGTTTTTGAACTGAAAGAGTTTGATGTAGTATGTAAACACTGTTAAAATTTCAAAGTGTCCCGTCCTCCCCAGTCCATACATGCAAACTAAGCTGCAAAACCAGCCCATTTTAAATTCACGGTTTCAGTAACGTCATGAAAAACAAATAATTTACATATCACTGCCTACTCCACCTACATCAGCTTAGCTCCTCCCATTTACACTAAAGTTATAAGGAGTATTTCAGCCTAGACTGCTTTCTGGATGAGGCTGGGAAATGGTAAAATGTATTATGAATACTTTGGTACATAAAGCCACCCCAGTGTAATATGTGGACCTGAGGGGGAAAATAAAATGTAAGAAAAATGTCAAATATGGGCCCTTTGTTGCACTCCTGCACAATGCCAGCTTTTGTAATATTTTGATCAAAGTTTGTAAAAGTTGGATAAAAGTCCTCATTCACAGGGCAACCTCATATGGAAAAGTAATACATGGACCTGGATATATTTTTAGATGTGAAATACATGTCAAATACATTGTTTCATTCCAAATTGTATTCCCAGCACTAAAGTATATTAAAGTACCGATTGTCATTTACATAGATTTTATATGTATTTCTTTTGCATATGGGGCGAGTCTTCGTCAGCATCTAGTGTTGCACCAAATACTTCCAGTGTGAGTAGCATTAGCTTTAGCATTAGCTCATCTGAAGTGGCAGCTTGCTTTGCTAAAACTTCTTCCTTATTTGACATGAAAACCTGGCACTTTATTGTCGTATGGCTAAAAGATTTTCTGGGTTTGATGAATAAAAACATTATTTTTAGAATTATTTTCTTAAGCTACTAGTCTATTGTCATATTGTGAGTTCCCAAATATGTATGTTTGTTTATGTGGGCTTCTAAAATTTTTCTTTGTGCTGATGAATCTTAAGTCGGCAGCACAGATGCAGTCAGGCGGCCTGAGCAGAAAGTTTGATGGAAGCAGCAACGGTAATTAAGAGAGGTGGGACCTGTCAGAGTTTTGCAAACCGTCAATTATGCAAAACTGAACATAAATGACACGTCTTGTCTTACCATCACATGTAACACCTTGACTTGCATTAAATTTCTTCTCTCTGTTGCTGAGAGCAAATCCATCTTTGCATGTGCAGAAATAGGAGCCAATGGTATTATTACACTCAGAATTGGGGCCGCAGATATCTGGGATCTCTAAACACTCATTGATGTCTGTGAAAAGAACAAGAGCAGAGATTCAGATTCAGCCTTTTCTATGAGTAGCCCAGGTCACCGTGTAGTGGAATTACTGACCTTGGCATATGTTGCTGTTGTGCTGTGTGAAATTAACCGTTCCTGAAGTTTCCCGGTATCCTGTTTCACACTGGCAGTAGTAGCTACCAACTGTGTTATGACAAACTGTGTTTTTGCCACAGACTGGGTTTTCAGACTCACACTCATTCTTATCTGTTGTAAAGATGTAGAGTGCATATGAAAAAAACATCTTTGCATTATGAGTGGGCAATATGACAATATTTATCGTTATTGTGATAAATTATGTCACCTTATACAACAGTTAGTTTTGACAAAAATGTAGTTGGTTGAGGAAAGTTTTATATGTGCTGTTATTTGTGATGACAGTACTTTTTCAGAATATCAGAATTCCTCTGAGCATCAACAGTCTCACTTTACGCTATTAATTTTCTACTTAAAACATACAAAACCAGAAAACGAACACATTAACTAACTTCTATAGGATGATATTTGACCTGCAGCCTGTTTGGTCAGATTCTGAAGACATACAGCAGGGCCACATCAAATTCAGAACCTGATGTTGCCCCTAAGCGAGCTTTTTAATCGGCAGCTATGATGGCAGAACAACTAAACTAACTGGAATCAGCCAGAAACAAACAGAATACAATTCAACACACAAGATGAGCTGTGAAACACTTTACAAAATGACGTTCAGGTTAATCTGGCAAGTAATAAAAAGCTGATCTGGACCTGATGTTGCAACAGTTTTATGGGTCTCTCTGTAACACACAAAGCTACAAATTTATTAACAGAAGGAACTGCCAACAATAAAGCACGTTTCATCTGATATTCAGGGCTTCTTTACTTTACTTTTTTCTTTATTTTGCAGAACTGTTGTATAAAAGCTATGGAACATTTGAGGCAGTGTGTTATGACATCATGACTGATTTGGTCGCAGGGATGAGCCGAAGGCATTCTATTGCTTAATGACATCACAATTTGCATTTCTTAGGATCTCTGTATCTAAATATTAAAGGGCTCATGTCATGCAAAATCTATTTTTCCTCACGTTTTTGAACTGAAAGAGTTTGATGTAGTATGTAAACACTGTTAAAATTTCAAAATGTCCCGTCCTCCCCAGTCCATACATGCAAACTAAGCTGCAAAACCAGCCCATTTTAAATTCACGGTTTCAGTAACGTCATGAAAAACAAAAAATTTACATATCACTGCCTACTCCACCTACATCAGCTTAGCTCCTCCCATTTACACTAAAGTTATAAGGAGTATTTCAGCCTAGACTGCTTTCTGGATGAGGCTGGGAAATGGTAAAATGTATTATGAACACTTTGGTACATAAAGCCACCCCAGTGTAATATGTGGACCTGAGGGGGAAAATAAAATGTAAGAAAAATGTCAAATATGGGCCCTTTGTTGCACTCCTGCACAATGCCAGCTTTTGTAATATTTTGATCAAAGTTTGTAAAAGTCCTCATTCACAGGGCAACCTCATATGGAAAAGTAATACATGGACCTGGATATATTTTTAGATGTGAAATACATGTCAAATACATTGTTTCATTCCAAATTGTATTCTCAGCACTAAAGTATATTAAAGTACAGATTTTTTTTTTTGTCATTTACATAGATTTTACATGTATTTCTTTTGCATATGGGGCGAGTCTTCGTCAGCATCTAGTGTTGCATCAAATACTTCCAGTGTGAGTAGCATTAGCTTTAGCATTAGCTCATCTGAAGTGGCAGCTTGCTTTGCTAAAACTTCTTCCTTATTTGACATTAAAACCTGGCACTTTATTGTCGTATGGCTAAAAGATTTTCTGGGTTTGATGAATAAAAACATTATTTTTAGAATTATTTTCTTAAATTACTAGCCTGTCGTCATATTGTGAGTTCTCAAATATGTATGTTTGTTTATGTGGGCTTCTAAAATTTTTCTTTGTGCTGATGAATCTTAAGTCGGCAGCACAGATGCAGTCAGGCGGCCTGAGCAGAAAGTTTGACATACGTAGCAAGAGTAACTAAGAGAGGTGGGACCTGTCAGAGTTTTGCAAACCGTCAATTATGCAGTACCTGCACGAAAATGACACATCTTGTCTTACCATCACATGTAACACCTTGGCTTGAATTTGATTTCTTCTCTCTGTTGCTGGAAACAAATCCGTCTTTGCATGTGCAGAAATAGGAGCCAGGGGCGTTATTACACTTAGAGTTGCGGCCGCAGATATCTGTGATCTCTAAACACTCGTTGATGTCTGTGAAAAGAACAAGAGCAGAGATTCAGATTCAGCCTTTTCTACTGAAGCACTTTTTCAGGCACAGGGCACTGTACAGTGGGATTACTGACCTTTGCATCCCCTGCTGTTCTCCAGAGTGAAATTAACTTTTCCTGAAGGTTCCTTGTATCCCTTTTCACACTGGCAGTAGTAGCTACCAATTGTGTTGTGGCAAAGTGCGTTTTTGCCACAGTATGCCTCTTTAGACTCACACTCATCGTCATCTGTTTTAAAAGATACAGAGCACATATGAAAAAAAAGGTTTTTGCATTATAAATGGGCAGTATGGCAATATTTATTGTTATTGTGATAAAGTATGTGACATTATTCAACTGTTCTGACAAAAAAATCTGATTGGTTGAGAAATATTGCTGTTATTTGTGATGACAACACTTTTTTTTACAATATCCATATAATTGCACTGCGCACCGATGGCGTCACTTAACACTAATAGTCTTCTACTTACAAACATACAAACACAGAAAATGGATACAACTACTAACTTCTATATCGCTGCTGTCGAACAAAACCTTGTATCTCCAAAATGGTAACTTTACAGGAGAAGAAAAACATACACTACTTTCAATGTAAGTCAATGAATGTAAGTCATTTTTGGCCATTTATTTTGGTCCATCCTTCATGAAATTTACACACAATATAAAGGCCAGCATGCATTTTCAAATTATGTCAAAAACTGAAAATTGACAAAAATGGAGATATGAGGCTTTGTTCCAACAACAGCGACAAGATGGTATTTGACCTGCTGCCCATTTGGTCAGATTCTGAAGACCTAAAGAAAGCTTACATCAAATTCAAATACTGTTGTTGCCCCTAAGTGAGTTTTTCGGTCGGCAGTTGTGACAACTGCAACTGAACTAACTGGAATTAGCCACAAACAAACAGAATACTGTGAAATGATTTACAAATGACATTCAGGTTAATCTGGCAAGTAATAAAAAGCTGACCCGAACCTGATAGTGCCACAGTTTTACAGGCCTCTCTGTAACATAAAAGGCTAAGACTTTTTTTGGTAAAAGAAACTGCTAAAATTAAACCATGTTTGATCCAATGTTCAGGGCTTCTTTGCTTTACTTTTTTTCTTTCTTTTGCAGAACAATTGTATAAAAGCAATAAAACATTTGAGGGAGTGTGTTATTGTGGATCAACATCATGTCTGTGATTTTCAGGCATGAGCAGAAGACATTCTGTTGCTTAATGACATCACAGTGTGCTTTTCATGGGATATTGTGGACATCAGTACTTAAAGAACACTAAAAACACATATTCCCTTGTAAATGGAACATAATTAGTCTTGATTAATTGGATTTAGTTCAGTGCAGTTTTTGAAATGTTGAAATAAAAACCATTGTAATTAAAGCAAACTCTAAATGCGGCTCCACTTCTTCTTTTTTCTATTCCAAATTATCAAACCTCAGAAAATCTACTGTGATTCATATCATGTGTTGTGAAAATGTCTTGAAGTATGGTGATATATTTTTTCCCGTTTTGCCCAGCACTACTTTGCATGCTATCTGCTTATTAACTTGAGATTTTTGTTCTTCTGTGGATTATTTCTCATAAAATCTTCAGAATCTTGTGAACTACGTTAAAAATTGTATGCAAAAGTATTGGCACCTCTGGCCAAATGACATATTTTGTTGATTTTTGAAGTAAAAAAAAAGAACACATTCTCTGCAGTATACTATTTTTAATAACATTTTTCTGCAAATGTCAAGGGACATCTATTTCCTTAATATACTTAGTTAGTATTTATGATTAACTGAAAAATAAAAGAAAAAAATATTGATTGAGGTTGTGGCATGTGCTAAAATTTCGACACCCTACTAAATCAGTACTTAGTAACACCCCCTTTGACAGATGTTAAAGCTTGCCAACACTTTTTTGTGTCTTCCTTTTCTTGTTTTAGGAATTTTTACCCAATCTTCCTTGCAGAATGCTTCTAGTCCTGTAATATTTTTGGGCAGTCATGCATACACAGCATGATTCTCAATGATGTTTAAGTCAGGGGACTGTAAAAGCCATTCCAAAAGCTTCAGCTGCACTTCTTGAAGTAGTTCATTGTGGATTTTGAAGTATGTTTTGGATTATGTTGTATTGAATGTATTGTTGCAGGAACAAGCCTCTTTTTCAGTGTCTTGACTGACTGTGTCACATTTGCTTCCAGACTTGCTGATATTTTGTGGAATTCATTCTTCCATCTACCTTTGCAGTGTTTCCTTTACTACTGGCTGCCACACAACCCTAAAGCATAATTAATCCCCCACCCCCCAAGCTTAACAGCTGGCAAGGTATTCTTTTCATCAAATGATGCTCCTTGTTTCACCAAATATCTGATCTGTTATGCTGATTTTGTCCAAAGAGTTCAATTTCATCAGCCCACAGCACTTGTTTCCAAAATGCCTCTAGCTTATTTGCATGTTGTTTTGCATACTTCAGATGTTGATTTTTATGAGGTCACAGGTAAGATTTTCTTCTGATGACTCTTCCATGCAGATCATGTTTGTGCAATCAAATCTGCACAGTAGAACAGTGTGTCATCCCTCCTATGTCAGCTAAACCATCCTACAGGTCCTTTGCTATCATATGGGGGTTTTGCGTTGCCTTTCTGGCCAGCATACGAGCAGTTCTACCTGAGAGTTTTCTTGGTCATCCAGATTTTGCCTTGATTTGCACAGTACCCCTTAACTGCCATTTCGTAATTACATTTTGGGCAGTGGAAACTGTAAATTGTAAGCGCTTTGATGTCCTTTTTATAGATTTCTCAGGCTTTGTAGACATCACTTAGCTTCATGATTATTAAGTATTAGCACAAGGTCAGATAATGTAGGACACTCTAAAACTGTCATCAGCGAGTCAGTTAAGACCTAACAGGTTATTCATGTTCTGGGACTTCACAACCTGTCCAGCACATACCAGAATTACAGTTTAGTTTTTTTTCCTGTTTAAGTTAATCACATATAAATTAACTGCACATTAAAATATGCAAAACAGTTTTCAGCAGAGGCTGTCTTTACTTCATGTCAAAAAGCAACGAAATATGTATTCTGCCCAGAGGTGCTCAAACTTTTGCACATAATTGTAAATGAAATGAAAATTGAAATTTAGTAAACAAGTATAACACTCTTCCGTTACTACTTGGACCTAGTAATAAAAGCATGACGATGAATAATGTGATGACTGAGCATTCTGTTGACTGGACATTAGAGTCCAGTGTTATAATGACCCGTGGACATAAGTAACAGATAACACAGAGGTTACACTTAAGCACTCTTTTCTACTAGTTGTGCTGTCTTGAGTATTTTTAAGTAAGAGTAATGTTATTTGACTGTAGTTTGATTTGCTTGGCTGTGATTAAACATCTAAGCTCTACATTCTCTTTTTATTGAAGTTAAACACAGGAGGTGAAGATCAGAATCAGATTCAGTTTGACACCAAAAAATGTAATGCAGAAGTGCTTCTGTATTTTAAATAGACAAATATAAAAAAATTAGACTTCTTGTAATAAAGGTAGCAGGACTTGTCCATACCTTGACATCTTGTGCCATAAATGATAAATCCTGCTGAACAGTTCTGATTCTGAGTGACTGCTTTGGTCGTTAGGGATAACAGAAGACCTGTGGAGAAAAGATCTTTACTTTTACTTTTGGTTGTAAAGTGAAGTTATCTACCAAGGCTCACATGAGAAAGCTATCTGTGTAAAATAATTCAGATCTTTATTGATTCCACATATTATTCACTAAACAACATGATTTCATCATTTCATGAAGCAGAACCTTCCCAGACACAGAAGCACGGAGGATAAAAGACTGAACAGCCATGAAACAAACACAACAAACAAAACCCTTTAATGTTTACTGACAGATCATCAGCTTATCAGCAGAAGCACCGCTGTGGAAACAACTATGTCCACACAAAGTTAAATCACATCTGACCCCAAAGTTATTGCTTGGTGTCTTGTCCTGCTTTTGTCCATCTTAACCTTCTGTAGTCATACTGCTGGTCACTGGAAGTCATCTATCGAACACTGAGTCTGTCTGAGTGATTAGATCTTTTCTGGATTTTGTTCTGAATTGGAGATTGAGCAGGATCAAAAAATAACGAACTCTATCCCCCCCCTCTTTTTTCCTCGTATTGTTCCTAGGCCGAAAACAGAGGGGTCAGGCCAGCTGCTGGCCACACTGCATCAGGAACTTACTCGCACCTCTTCCTGCAGGTCAGACAGCTGGCAGGGTATTGTGGCGGGAGTGTGAGTAGATGAGAAGAAGGGCAGTGCAACTTTTCATCCCACAGACTGACCGCACTGTACAGTCAGCTGGAAGGAGGCTAGGCAACGTCACAACTCTTACCTACCGAGTTTCAGCACATAGCAGCTTTGACTAAGAACAATCAGAAGAATGGAGAAGTGCTAGACAGTGTTTTATTGGATTACAGTGGCAGGAATTACAGATGCTTCACTTATTGTCCTTAACATGAAGATCATTTTCCTTGACACAAATTTTTGAGCCTTTTTCACTGACGCTTCTTTGATTTTACTTGATAATAAAATATTATAACTGTACTCATACACTACTCTTTTAATGAGTGCATGCAATTATATATCATTAAGCTTGTATGGAGCTTAAAAAGAGAATAACATCCAGTTTTCAAAACTTCTGCATAATTTAGAAAATGGCTATAAACAAAATCATTCAGAGTGGTTTGATGTAAGTCAAAGTTGTTCACAGTGGTGGTGATAGGAACCAAATGTCAGAAGCAGCACAAGACATGTTCACTGGTGTTTTTGAATAGTAAATAAATGGCTATATTTGTGTTGTAGTCATGGCGACCCCTGGTTCCTATCACCACCACTGTAGAGGAATCTGAGTCTGTAATTTTCTGTACAATGAACCATCTCACATCAAACCACGAATGATGATTCAATCTTGCTTGTACTGTCCATTTCATCACCACACCCTTCTTTTTAGCTTTAAGCTGCCGGTCAGCTGCCTGTGATCAGTCTATAGCTTATTGCTAGAGTTTTTGTTGTACTGAATATACCTGTTACATGGTAAGTTAGTGAAAATAACAAACAATTCAAAAGATTAAACATTTTGGAATCATGTTATATAAATAATTTGTGCTATTTACATGCAATAATAACTTATACAATGTAGATTTAAATCTGATAAACATGAAATGGTATGTCTAAATGTTTTATTCAATATTTCATTTCAATATTTTACGTTATATTTTTACTTTCAATGTATTTATTTATTTGTGTCAGTTATTTGCCTAAACATTTCATCACCATTTTGCAAATATGAGGCATTCTGGGTTGTAAATGAATTATAAATTCAGCCGTCCTGCATTACCAGCTTTCTCAGTAATCACAGAATCATCTACAGCTCTGTTCATCATCATCGACACATCTAATGCTTCTCCATTTTTAATGCTTCCAATCCTGTTTTTTTTTTTTGTTTGTTTTTATTGGTTATATGTTTATATTTACAATACTCTGCAAAACCTTCATTTATTTAATTTCCAGGCAAATTTACCATAAAATACATTAATAAGTATAACAATAATAATAAGGTGGTTATTTTTCAGAATCAGGAATAGAAATGCAGAAAATTATACAAAACAGAAAATTATACAAAAGCCTCAACCACTAAATATAATTGACATTTTTTAGTATTTAGTGTGCCTTTATTAAGGCTTCCATTCTTTTCAGGAGACTTGCTATACGTTTCTCAAAGAAATCTGCAGGTATATTTTTCCACATCTCCAAAGTTCAGTCTTAAAAGCTGGTTGCATTTTCTGCTTCTCATAATCCAAGCAATTCCAAACACAATCCCGAAAAAAATCCAAGATCTGTGGATTTTTCAGATCTGAAGCAATAATGGAGCTTGATCCTCTCTCACATATTTAGCTTTAAGTGCTGTTTATCTGATGGGGGCAGTTTTGGTGTCTACCAGGTCTTGCACAGTTGTTAGGAGTCTTATTTTCTCTGTATCTTAATCATTTTTTGAACTCACATTTTGGAAACTCTTGTTTTTTCAACTTATTTTCATTTGACTTTCCTCTTCTTTATGCAAGTGTTTTATCTTACATCTAATATCCTCAGAAACATCTAAAAAATAATAACTTATTGCTGATTTGACTGGAAATTAAATAAAAGCTGACTTTTTAGGTTTGTATTGGCATTTATATAGAAAATATTGATTCTGAACTTTTGAAAAATGTTTCCAAGCTATTATTATTTTACTCCATAAGCTGATTTTCACTGAAAGTGTTCTTTTTCAGTACTGCAAATATAATGCTTAGCTTTAAACCCTTATGTACAATTAGTCAAATTGAATTACTGTATAAATTTGGTTATGTGCTGTTCTTGATTCTTTCACATTCCAAACTGGCTCATCCAACTTATTAAGCTGTCAGTAGGGAGGCCTGCTCCGGACTTTTTCCCAACATAACTGCTTCCTGATTTGGCGTCATGGTCCTGCCATCCTGTACTGTGTGGAGAGATAAACACACCTTTGATTTCCTGCGACTCTGTTGCCCCCTCTGCACTACACTCCAGTCTTACAATAACTTCCCACATGCAGTCGGTTCTTGCCTCACAATAGATGCCCCCCTTTTCAGTACTGCTTCTCTGCTAAATTTCCCAGAGAAAAACATCTTTCCATGAAGTCACTGGACTTCCAGGACCCCTAGGGGGATGATGTGTGGGTGTTTGATAAAAAAAATTCTGCTGTGGGGCCCAGAGAACAGATGTGCTTTTCTGAGTAAGGAACAGAAAACCCTAGGGGGAGAATGCAGACTGTGTTCTCTGTGGGTTTATCATGGCCAGTCCCTTCATTCATCTTCCAACTTACAGATCAGTCGAGACAAAAAAAATCATGCCCTGATGCTGCACTTACATCAGATTTTCCCCTTCTGTCTGTCATTTCCTCTCAAAGAGTTTTGCCATTCTTTCACAGCTTTGAAGCCGCCTGTAAATTTGCAGATGTTGGCAGAGGAGCTTATGAATCCCCCACTAAAATGTACAGTGGCTCCAAAGAAACATCTGCTTTAGAGTTTTAGTTTCAAGATTGTTGCAGTGCAGGCAGTGATCATTTAAAGGGGGATTCCACCGATTTTACACATTTCTGTGTAATTCAATGGTTGAGATGTAAACAAAGTCATTCAGATTTGATGTGAACTGGTTAATTGTTGAGAAACTCATCTCATCAACTCAGATGTCTGTACAGTGGTGGTGAGGGGAACCAGATGTTGCGATGTGTGCAACACAAATGTAGCCTTTTATTTATTATCCACTGAACCTACACATGTCTTCCAAGTTCAAATATATAAAACTAATGATGGTAATTTTTTTTTTCTGGGGACTATTTTGCCTTACAACACCCTGCTGCCTCTCCACCATGAATAAAAAAATGTTTGTTTTTGGGCAAAAAGTTTAGCTCAAAACTATTAAAACAATGTCTCAGGCATCAGGCAGCATATTCATGATCATTGAATGGACTAGCTTTCTGCGAGGGACCTTTTAGAGACATTAAACTCTTTAGATGTCTGGTTCCCATCATCACCACTATGAACAATTCTGACTTGTTTCTCCGCACACTTAAAAAAGATGGTTTTTCAAGGGTTCTTTAGTAAAGAAAATGGTTCTAAATAGATATAGCACCTTTTTGAAAATGGTTTTATATAGCACCAAAAAGGGTTCTGTTATTGTTACAAGCTTGACATCTTAATCGTAGTAGAACCCTTTTTGGTGCTATATAGAGCCCTTTTTTAAAAAGGTGCTGTAAAAAAACATCTACAGCACATTCCCTGTCAATCTGAAGAACACTTTCTTGATGTAAAGAACACTTTAATCATGCAGAGGGTTCTTTGAGTATCAATGGTTCTATATATAATCATTTTCTTTACTAAAGACTCCTTGAAGAACCATATTTTTAAGAGTGTAGAGCAGACAGTTTCACATTAAACCACTCTGAATGACTTTATTTACAACTTAATCATTTAATTACACAGAATTTTCAGAAAATCAGTGCAAAACATTCTGAATTGTAAACTGTTTTCTGCACACAAATGAGACTAGGTTTATATTTTGACTGATGCACATCAGCAACTACCAGTGTTGTGAAGGTTTTTCAACAGAAAGGCAGTGTCATACTAACTACACAATGACAAAAAAAAAAAACTTCTCAGCATTAGTGGCACTAACCACTACCACATCCACACAAATTACATTTGGATGGCGACTCACCCAGAAACAGAAGATATGCACGTCTCATGGTGAGAACAAAGAAAACAGATCCTGGATAAAGGTACAGATCACAGCTTATGCTCAGCTCAAGACTATGTCCATTAGATAGATTTAACAGTAGAGGTCTCTTCTCGAGGTTAACTTCACCGTCTTTGCTGAAACAGTCTTGGTATCTTCCTGCTCCTGCTTTGCCAATGTTGTAGAGGCACTAAATTTAACTGGACCAAATATAAATGAAAGGAAAGCAAGTGGCCACTCTTTGACCACTCACCCTGACCTTGCAGTGTCTGTCAAACTATCTCAAACTTCAGGCCCTGTCTTCAGCTGACTGTCCCGCTGAGGTAAAGCAGCAGAGTGTCACTGTGAGAACAGTCAGACCCAGCTGAGTCATGCCTCTCTGCTGAAAGGGGGAACTCTGAGAGGAGGATGACGGTGGGAGAGAGGGTGGAGTGAGCATTGCAACAGCCTCCATTGCTGTAAAAATAAAAGTACTGAAAATAGGGTGTCATACAGAATGATTCCATGACAACATGGTTTTGCCTAGTTCTGTTTACTGATGTTATCTTGTAATCTGTACCCTTCACTCTCTTTCTGTCTGCGTATCTGTTCCTCTCTCAGCCATAGATGGAAGTTAAAAATACTTGTTTATCTATAACATCTTAAGCCTTAAAGGCCCACACTTCAGTTCTTCACTCTCATAACTACATAACATACATATTAGTTTAATAGACGTTAATAAATGATTCACAGTTATTAACTAATAAATCTTAAGATTAATAACTAAACAATATGCCCAGAGCTTAAAGGGTTAAGTCATTTCTAGTCATAACACCTCAACATATTCACCATAAGGTTACAGGTCTTTAATATGGTTGGCCATTAATGACACTACTCATTTCTTCCCATTATACTCTTAAACATTAAGGTACCAGTCAAGAATGTTCTTGAGTGTGATGCCACTGATTGACCATTGATTTGAGATTTAAGAGACTTTCAATAAATCGTTCTTTAAAGAACCATTGACAGGGAAATTAGTCAATCAGGAATTTTTACCCCGTGATATCTAGTCACCTTCAACCAAGCAAGGCCTCCCACTGGTTAGGGCTTCAGGAGCTGGACAGATAGCCTTAGGTTTCAGATTGACCACTAAAATACTTAGGAAGTTTTTATAACTGGGACCAATTTGGCCAGAAAAAAAATCACTCCAGGCCCTAGAAACATCACTGATAGTGAACAGTAGCAGAAGCAAAACCAGTAGGTTTCTAACAGCTGTAAGAAAATGAAAAGAGTGGCAATATACTCAGGATTTTCAAAGAGGGAGGTACTGTAAACATGCAATATATGTAAAGTATAGGTAAATATATGTTAATGTCTGTCACAAGATTTTAATATAAAGCAGCAGTCAACCATTAAAAAGGCCATATTAAAAATCTCAGTAAATCCAAATTTTACTTTGCCATGACCTGAACAGGCCAATGTGTATTCAAAATATGCCAGAACTGCAACAGCAAAATAGGCATTGAATACTTATTCAAAAATAATTCTAAATAAAAAAAATGTTTTAGGTATTTTTTTAAAACTGCCTATTTGCTTGAACTCTGCAACAGGCATTTTTTTCTTTTTGTATAACCACTGGCTCATAGATTATTGTTGGGGGTCAGAATGAACACTATGTTGCAGTGCATGCTGTGGTGCATCTCAGCCTGTAACGGGCTGATAAGAATAGCAAATTAAAATTAATTTGTAGGCCGGATAGGACTGTCATGGGCCTGACTTTGCCTGCATGGGATATAGAACTTCTTCAAATATTTGTCTTTTGGCTAGCTAATTAGCAAGACTAACCTTTACTTTTCTGACAAAAGCCTGGACACAGCTAGTAACTTACAATATATGGTTAAGAATATTTTTGTAAACTCACATACCAAGGATTTTTCCAACCAAGTGTTGGCAGAAGATTCAGAAAAATGAATACAACTGCAGCGCATCAAGTGAAGTAAACAAGGGGAAAATAACTAAAACTACCACAGCCAGTTCTTATCTTTTAAAGGATAAGCACTCAGACGTACACTGACAAGAAAACTGACCTTGTTAGCATTGTGGTTCTGCATATTTGGCCCACTGCAAAATAACCTTAGCATCGCTGTCTCCATAAAACCTTCTAATTTCACGGGAGAAGAAATAAACAGTCTTTTGTTTGAAAGGAATTCAACCGAGCAAGTTTTTTCCAAGTAATTTTGGAGCAGTTCAATTAGTCCATAATTCATAAAAGTTTGAACACATGATACATTTTCAAATTCTGTAAAAAGAAAAAAGAAAGAAAGAAAAACAACAGCAATGGAGTTTCAAGGTCTTTTTCTGACACTGACATTAGGCTACTTACATGATTAGCTTAAGCCTGCTTGCTTTATGCATGACCAAAAGAGCTTTAGGTTTTTTTTGACTTGATGTAAATCAAAGAAGTGAGTTTAAAGAATGTGGTTAAAGTGTAAAGAACCTCTTTTCCACTGCAGCAGAAACTTCCACATAATACAGTAGACTTTAAATGGAGTGTACTCCTGGGATTTTTGAGACCACAATGATTAAATGTGGATGGCACCATTCTCTCAAGTTAGGCCAGCAAGTGTACATTTGGGAGATTGTAAATTCATTTATAATTTACATCAGTGCAATACAGTACTCTTAAAATACTGTAAACAATACAGGGTAGTTTCACATACACTTGTTAACGCCTGCACACTAACAGAGGAAGTATGACTACTTTTGCAATCACACTTTTTTTTTCCATCTTGTCACACTTTAACGTGGGACAGAATGTTCTCTCAGAAGGTGCTGCTGCATGACTGCTGACAGTAGTCTAAAGCTGTTCTGATGACTGGTGTGGTGTAGATGACTTTGGTGTGGATATCGTACATTGTCCACAGCATAGCCTTGAGCCAAAACAAAGCCTGTCTGTATGTACATATATAAGCTTCATTGAGAGGAGACCTAAGAGACTTTCTCAAGGACAGATTTAATACTGTGGTGCTTTATGGCTACGTCATTCAGAGGTTAAATGTGTTTGGACAGTGTGAGGCAGGGGCTTTTGGGTCCCTTTGGGCCCAAATTTAGCCAGAAGAATGAGCGAAAAGTCCCAGGCTTCTAAACAATAGGAATATGAAGTCCACACAGGACACGGTGACATAGTGTGGTGTGATATACTGCTATGCTGATTGATAATTGGCTGTTATAGCGACATTGTGAGGCCCAAAAGTCATTCCTTTTATGCTGAAACAATGGGCTGACCCTTTGTAGACCCCAGTTTTACCAAGGACACATTGCGCGTAATGAGTAAAGCTATTGGCTGAGACTGAAAATGTGAATTCTGGTAATGATGCAGGAAAATTTGTGATTTTACACTTTCAAGTTTGCATCAGTGACACTGTTCATAGAAAAACACTGGCAATTCTGGAATTACTACAAATTAAAGAAGTAATATTTCCACTTAATAGAGGTTTCATGAGAATGACCCTTTCAGCTCTTTTTTTTGGTGCACTGGGGAAACATTTACAGAAAGGAACATTTAAAGGACATTAGAAAGAGGAAACATAAACAGATGATGACCGTTAATAACCAGAGCTGAAAAGTGTCAAAACCAGCATTAGAATGTTTGAGACTGTATTTGAGTAAAAGTGTATTTCATTATTTTTGCTGGCAGTTTGTGTAAATACTGTATATATGCACTTACTTTATTGTATCTGTACTTTATCATTGCACATCTGTTATATTTCTTGCAGACTATTTGTGTACTGTCTATTTTATGTATACATGTCTTGTTTTTATTTTATTGGATTTAATTAAGTTGGCTTGAAAAAGCCAACTTCCTGTTCTGTACTGTACTGAATTTAGGGTGGAAATGAATTTAAGGAAGCACTAAATTTAAAGTGGCTGTGAATTTAAGATGGCAGTGTATATAAGGTATTAGTAAATTTAAGGTGGCAATGAATTCAAATTATGGTTACAGTTAAGGTGGCCTTGAATTTAAGGTGGCAGTGGATTTAAGGTAGCAGTTTAAGGTAGCACCTAACAATCCATTACCAATTGTTTTTATTTCATTGGCTCTGCTCTTGACTGGTTCACTTCCTATCTAACAGATCGTAAACAGTTTGTTACTCTCTCTGGACATCATTCCTCCACTTCCACTGTCACCCAAGGGGTCCCGCAAGGTTCTGTACTTGGCCTATTATAAATTATTCATTATTTACATGCTCCCTCTTGGCAATATTATTCAACATTTTAACCTTGACTTTCATTGCTATGCAGACAACACTCAGATTTATCTTCGGACAAATTCGCCCATTAACCCCCCTCTTTGGAATTGTACCTCTTAGAAATCAGGAACTGGATGAAACACAACTCTCTAATGCTAAACAGTGATAAGACTGGACTCATTCTCATTGGTTCTAAATCTGCACTCAATAAAACTGGCCCCCTCACTCTGTCAATTGATGATATTGTTTTGTCTCCCTCCTCTGTGGTCCGTAATCTGGGTGTCGTAATCTTGACGCCTCACTTAAACTCGACATCTCATGCCAGTTCCCATGTTAAACCCTCTTTCTTTCACTTACGCAATATAGCAAAAATCTGACCATCTCTCTCCCAGGCAGCTGCTGAAACTCTAATTCATGCTTTCATTTCTAGCCATCTAGATTATTGCAATTCTCTTCTTGCAGGCATCGGCTCCTCATCACTTCGTAAACTCCAGACAGTTCAAAACTCCGCTGCTCGTCTCCTCACTTACACCCGGTCACATCACCACATTACACCTGTTCTCCAAAACCTCCATTGGCTTCACATAAACTATCGTATTCAGTTTAAGATCCTTCTTTTCACCAACAAAGCTCTCAACAATCATGCTCTTTCCTATCTCTCTGATCTTCTCCAACCCACAAGCCTACACGCACTCTCCATTCTTCTACCGCTGGTCTGCTTACCATTCCCTCCTCTAAACTCCACAGCTTTGGTGATCGTGCATTTTCCAGAGTAGGTCCATGCCTCTGGAACTCTCTCCCTTCTCATGTTCAGCTGTCTAATTCTCTGTCCTCATTTAAATCCAACCTTAATACACATCTGTTCTGTCGTGCATACATTCTTCCCCTATCCTAAACTATTATAGCTCATGTTAGTTCATCATCTATGCTGTGAATATGTATCTCTGACTTTCCTGTGTCATCTGTTTGTATGTTATGTATTTGTTTCTTGTGCAACTAATTGCAATCTGTAAGCTCTTTGGGTCCAAGAAAAGCACTGAACAAATTTACAAATTTAAGGAAGCATTGAACTTAAAGTGGAAATGAATTTAAGGTAGCACTGAATTTAAGGTGGTTGTAACTTTAAGGCAGTTGTGAATTTAAGATGGTAGTGTATTTAAGGTATCAGTAAATTTAAGGTGGCAATGAATTTAAATTATGATTACAGTTAAGATGGCATTGAATTTAAGGTG